AAATAGGAAGCAGTAGAGAAAAATTATTTATTGTCTCTTGTGCTATTACATATCATTAAAAAGATGAAGAAATCTGAAGCCAAAAACTATCTGTGGGACCCAAGCTAGACAGACTCCTCATTACTCTTTCCGATTGTCCATTAAGTTGCCTCTCTTAACTTCCTATCTGTAAACAGTTTCTCTTGGTATAACCTCCAGAAATGTGTATAAGTGTGGATATGTTATATGCTAGCCAATGTTCATCTGTGTAGGAAATCACAAATGTCAAGTTTTATTTTTTATTTACTCAACACTTACACAGCACCATGGGCCAGGCGCTTTATAAGTATTAACTCATTCAGTTTTTAGAATTATCCTATGGAGTAGGTACTGCTACTGCATTTCACAGTTGAGGAAACCTGGCTAGAGAGATTAAGTTACCTGCTAAGTATGACACAGGTGGGTGCCACCACGCCCAGCTAATTTTTGTATTTTTAGTAAAGATGGGGTTTTACCATGTTGGCCAGGATGGTCTCGATCTCTTGACCTGTGATCCGCCCACCTTGGCCTCCCAAAGTGCTGGGATTACAGGCGTGAGCCACCATGCCCGGCCTATTAAATTTATTTTTGACTACTACAATAGGTTTATCAGAAACAGAAACCCAACATAAATGGAACAGCATCTCTCTCTATATATATATTGGTCCTGGTTTGCCATATATATATATATATATATATATATATATATATATATATATATGATATAGAGATATATATAATATAGATAAATATAATATCTATTTATAGACAGATAGCTATTCATCTTTATAGACTGAGCTTTGCCTTCACCTCCATCCCCTGAAGGCTTTCTCAGCTGTAGCTACCAATCCCTGGAAGCTGCCTCCTCTCCTCTTCCACAGCACCCAGCACTTGCCTAACTGGACTTATTAACTATTTATAACCGTTCATTTACATGTTCACATGCCACCAAACTGAGTTCTTTGAAGACAAGAATTTCAACTAAGCTTAATTTTGCAGCCATAATGCTATTCCTAACACTGAGTAGACCCTCAATAAATGCTTCTTGAATAAACAAAATCAAATTGTATGATGGCCAGGCATGATGGCTCCCACCTATAATCCCAGCACTTTGTGTCAAGGGAGAAAGATCACCTGAGGAATTCGAGGCTACAGTAAGCTATGATCACACCACTGCACTCTAGCCTGGGCAACAAAGCAAGACCCTTTCTCTAAAAAAAGATAAGAATAAAAATAGTTTTTTAAATAAAATCTGCAGTAACTGGTAAGGTTAAAGGCCAGATTCTGGTTCTTTAGCATTGCCATTAAGATGCAAACACAGACCCACCCAAGTGAGGTGGCTCCCACCTGTAATGCCACCACCGTGGGAGGCAGGCAGATCATGAAGTCAGATCATCATTTCAGTTAACACAGTGAAATTCCGTATGTACAAAAAAAAAAAAAAAAAAAAAAGCCAGGGGTGGTGGGAGGCACGCACCTGTGGTACCAGCTACTCAAGAAGCTGAGGCAGGAGAATTGCTTGAACCCAGGAGGCAGAGGCTGCAGTGAGCCAAGACTGCGCCACTACACTCCAGCCTGGATAACAGAGCAAGATTCCATCTCAAAAAAAAAAAAAGATGCAAACACAGTCCCTCTTTACCACCTCTTAATTGTAATACTAATAAATGCACAACTATCATGATTCCTATAATCTGGCTGTAGTTGTTGAAAGCCAAGTTAATTACCGTAATAGCAGAAACGAATTCATCATGAAACCATATATATATACATTTACATACACACACTTTTTTTTTTGAGTCAGGGTCTTTCTCTGTTGCTCAAGCTGAAGCATAGTGGCACAATCATAGCTCAGTGCAGCCCAACTTCCAGACTCAAGTGATCCTTCCACCTCAGCCCTCAAGTAGCTAGACTTTAGGCACATGCTACCATGACTGGCTAATTTTTTTTTTTTTTTTTTTTTTTTTTGTAGAGATGATGAAGTTTCACTATGTTGCCCAGACCGGTCTCGGACCTCCTATCCTCAAGCCATCTTCCCACCTCTGCCTCCAGAAATGCTGGGATTATAGGCAGAAGCCACTGTGCCCAAATCACCTTCTTGAAACCAAACCAGTATTTCACAGAACACTTCCTCCCTGAGGCAAAATGATACAATTTGAAAGTGGCTGCTACACTATCAATTAAAACTATGCCTTCCCAAGGTTAGATGAGCAAACCAGGACTAAAAAAAAAAAACCTTTTAGTTTCACCCTTAGATAAGTGGGGAAAATCCCTCAACTATAAAGACCTGTCCAAGGGACGGACTGGTGGCTCATGCCTGTAATCCCAGCACTTTGGGAGGCCGAGTGGGCAGATCACCTGAGGTCAGGAATGAGAGACCAGACTGGCCAACATGGTGAAACCCCATTTCAATTAAAAACACAAAAATTAGCCAGGCATGGTGGCAGGCGCCTGTAATCCCAGCTACTCCAGAGGCTGAGGCAGGACAACTGCTTGGACCCTAGAAGCGGAGGTTGCAGTGAGCCAAGACTGTGCCATTTCACTAGAGCCTGGGAGAAAAGAGTGACACTCCATCACGATTTAAAAAAAAAAAAAAAAAAAAAAAAGGCCTGTCCAAAACAAAGGATGGGTAGAGGGCAAAAATAAGGTTGAAATCCTTCAGTACAATCCTCTGAAGTTACGTTAGTCAATAAACAACAGAGAAGAAAGGTAGTTAAACCCGATATCTTCACATTTAAAATACAAAAGCAACCTTCCAATATCCAGACATAGAGCTCCTTTTTTTATCCATACTTCCAAAATGGTTTATATTCTTCTACACTCTCATTCCTTCTACATTCTCATTCCTTCTCTATTGATTTAGTACTTACTCTGTTCATAGTAGTGTGCTAGACCTTAGACATGTTACTAAAGAAAAACAAAAGTCAGCTACAGGACCTGCCCTCCTAAAGCTCATGTCCTAAAAGAGAAAGCAGGCATTCAATTAATATTCAACTAACTGTTTGAAACAATTGTGTTAAGAAACACAATGGAGAATACAAGTGTCAATAAGTAACACAGAATCCCATGCTCTTCTGTACCAAAAATCAATTGTCTTATAGCTTCTTGCTACAGAAACTCCACGTGTGCACCCCTTTCAGCAGTTACTCTGTAAAACTGCCAGGTTTCCAACTGTAGCTCTCAGATACACCTCTAGGGAAGATAAAGAAATTAAACTACTTCAAAAGTCATTTTTCCACCAGCTGCTTTTGTAGTATCAGTTTTTCTTTACATCTCTCTTATAAAGCATCATATAAGGGAATACAAAAATCTCTTTAGAGTGTTTTGAATCTTTACCCATTTATGAGGAAAAAAGATTTTTTAAAATAAGCATTTATAAAGCACTTACTATCTGAAGACAACACAAGAGGAATGCAATGACAGGAAGAAAAGATCTGTGGGTGCAATTCACATTCCAGCAAAGCAGATCACATGGATTTTTCCTTTGTATAGCACTGTATTCATAATTTTAACATGAATGCAATATTGAGTAAAGAACTCTCCACTAGAAGAATATTTAGGTTATAAATGTGGGTGTTTTTTTTCCCCAAGGAAGCCTCATGATAACTAAAATAATATCAACAAACTATTTTAGTGAACATTGGACGCTTACTAACTTGACCTTTGTTTTCCAGGATAGGAAATTATCTGCTGTCAGATACAGGAACTTAGCTAATAAAAAAGGGGAAAAGATCAGAACAGAAAATTACACTGAAACTTCTGGTAAATTACGACACCTATGTGGCTGAAAATATAAATCTAGGAAAGATTCTTTATAAGATAAAGGATATTCCCTATTACAAACACTGCTCCCACTGAAACAGCTATTTTATTGGCACTTAGAAAGTCAGGCCTTAGTAAGGAAGAAAATGTTCTACATGTCAATATTTACCCTGTAAAACAGATAACAAAAGGCGGGTAGAACTTTAGGCAAAGCAGGAGGTATCTGGGTTAACTGCCTTCTAAAATGAAAGGTGTAAAACCCTGGCCTGAGTTACCAAGAAGGCTCTGGACCAGGAGTCCCCAAACTACGGCCCGCATGCGGCCCCCTGAGGCCATTTATCCGCCCCCCCCCCCCCGCCCCCGGCCGCACTTCAGGAAGGGGCACCTCTTTCATTGGTGGTCAGGGAGAGGAGCACAGTATGTGGCGGCCCTCCAACGGTCTGAGGGACAATGAACTGGCCCCCTGTGTAAAAAGTTTGGGGACGCCTGCTTCTGGACCCTCTTTCCGCTTAACATTTTAAGACCGATCACCTCAGTTCAGAATGGAATGGCAAAATACGACTTGAGAGCAGAGAAACATGCTATATGACCTAAGGACCCTTGCATTTTTTATAACTCGAGTTAAACAAAATCCATTATGATTTTTTCAGTTATTCATTCATTCCACAAATACTTATTGGGTGCCTAGTATGCACATCGCCCTGTGCTTAAGCTATGGTGGTCCACAAGAAAACTACTTGGCCATTATATTCTAATGGGGAGACACGCTAAAGCGGCAATTCTATAAACGAACAGAGCCCACGTCCAAGGGGAAGGGATACTCAGGGAGGGCTTCTTTGAGGAAGTAATATTTTAGCTAAGATGTGAAGATGAACGGGTAACAAGGATGAAGGGTTAAAGCCCATATTTCGGGCTTCGTCGACTGGATGGTTACAGTCATTCATTGGTAGAGGAACAGTGGAGGTGAACTAGATTTGGAGGAAAGTTAACCACCAGCACTTATTTACTGGGGTCCTAGTATATTTCCAGGCGCTTCCCAAATCCTTCTAATCATTTTGCGCAGCAGAAGCTATCACTTCCAGTTTGTATACACAAAAGAGAGGCTGAGCGGGGTGAAAATGACGTGCCCAAGATGAAATAAAGAAATCTGACTCTGGTATCATGCTTGTATGTGCTCGAAAGCCCGCGCTCTTTCCACTCCATAGCTCCTTCCTGTGTGCACGTCCTTTTCATCTGGTGGCCCCAGCGTGACAAGCTGCCGCTAAGGAAGCCCCGGTCGGGAGCAGAAGAGGAGGCATCAGCAGGATGGCCTCGGCAAGTCGCTCCCTTCCCGGGCCTCATCTGCCTAACGATCATCTCCTCCTCCGAAGTTGTATGCATGAAAGGCGAGTGGAAACTTCACGAAAACGAAGGCGATTGAGACACCACAGAAGGAACCGCATCCTTCCGGAGTCTTACGAAAATAGTAAGTTTGAAAAAAAAAAAAATGCAGGGAATTCCCTCGCTCCCTCATCACTGAGAACTCTCCTAAGGAAAAGAGCATCTCCCGGGCGGGGCCGAGTCCGGGCGGCCGGCTTAGGATGCTCCCACGCTCCCCGACCCCCAAACCCCAGGACCCGCAGGACCCCCGGAGAAACGCCTGCCAGCTCGCCCGGAGCCACGCGGCACAAGGTGACACGGACCGCGCCGCGCCGGCCCCTCAGCCGCCTGGGGGAGGCCGGGAGCAGGGAGAGGGGCGTCCACCGGCCCGCGCTACCTTGTACTTATCAAAGCCAGCCAGCTGCTCCGGGCTCACGTATTCGTAGCCAGCCATGACGACCCGAAAACCGAGCACCCACTCGGCAGCGACTCTCGGCTAGGAGGCGGTGACACGCGAGCAGCACACCGGCTGGGCAAGGCTGGGAAGGACTGGGCTGCCGGAGAAGGTAGGAGCGGTGCTCCGCCCACCGCGCACGCGTAGCGGTCTCAGCCGCTTCTACCGCCTCTCAGCGCGCAAGCGCAGCCCAAGCTTCTCCCCACCCACTGAGGGAGGGTCGCTATCCCGCTCGAGCGGCCCGCCCCCCAAGCTGTCGTTGTCCAATCGGCGTGGATCAGGCAACACTAAGTCCCGCCTTCTAGCTCTCTTCGTCGCTTCATTTGCTGGCGTCAAAATTGGTGAGCTGAGGTAAGACAAGAGGAGATGAAAGGTCAGTTTCCCAGCGGGCTTTGCTCTTGGTCCCGGGAGTAGGTGGGCGTTTCCGTGGTATCCTCACTAGAGCGGACATCTGGGGGATACTCTTTTAGTCCTGAGGGTAGGGTGACTGCTTGCGAGCCAGTCCAGCAGTGTCTCAGGTAAGAAGACAGTCCTCCCATCGCAGCGAAGTACAAAAGGAAGGAGGTCTGTACTGCGGGCCGCTCCCAGCTCGCGGTACGGTGCGCTACATGCACCGTAAACATAACCATGTTTATGTTTACGAAGAGGGTATCCCCCAGATCCCCATTCTAGTGACAATACCACGGAGACGCCCACCTACTCCCGGGACCAAGAGCAAAGCCCCATCGCGCTCCGCTCTGTCAAACCGTTCCAAATTAAGATTGCTGGTGCCTCCTGTCCAGATAAAAGCAGAGATCTGTCAGTCTCGACGAGTCGTTAACAGTGTTTCCAATAAGTGTTTTTACTGGAACCTAGTTAATTGGAAAAAAGAAATTAGATCAATGGCTAGTGAGTATCTACTAAGAAAATTTATAATTGGTGCTGCTTTTTATTGAGCGTCTTCTATGGAGAGAACTTCACATACATTATAATCAACCCCATAACAACACTGTGATGTGAAAGGCATTATCCCCATTTTCAGACTAGGCAACCTGCCCAGTGTCACTTAGTCATGCAGCTCGGAAATGATCGACCCAACGTGAAATGAGATCTGTGTTATGGGAAACCACTACCTCAGGGAGCCTTTCAGTCTCTCTGGGTCTCTGAAATAAGAGCTATTATTTTGAGATACTTTTATGTTCATTCATTTACCAGCTACTTATTGGGGACTGAAGATATGCCAAGCACATTATTATTACTACGTGTCTAATGTCTCCTCCTAAAGCATAAGATTCTTATAAGGTAATAGATATCTTATACTTGGTGTATGGTAGATAGTAAGCTTTTTTTTTTTTTTTTTTTTCCTTGAGACAGGTACTCACTTTCACCCAGGCTAGAATCCAGTAACGCGATCACAGCTCACTGCAGCCTCGACCTCTCCCGGCTAAGGTGATCCTGCCTCAGTCTCCCAAGTAGCTAGAACTACTGGCGTACACCACCACACCGGCTAAATTTTTTGCATTTTTTGTAGAGTGGGCACCTGGCCAATCAATAAACTTGAGTATCCTTTATCACACTTGCCCTCGAGGGGGGTATTTGCATCTTATACGTCTTAATTTTCCCCATGTTCCATAGCCCAGGGGCTTGTAAATAATACACGATCAATATATTTTACTGAATGAAGGAGCAAAGATCTCTTTGATATCTGTGAAGTACCAGTTTTGAGAATAACATTAGAAATGAGAGTTTCAGCCAGGCACAGTGGCTCACGCCTGTAATCCCAACACTTTGGGAGGCTGAGGCGCAAGGATTACTTGCGGCCAGGAATCTGAGACCAGCCTGGACAATATGGTGAAACCTTGTCTCTACTAAAAATACAAAAACTAACCGGGCATAGTGGCATCCGCCTGTAGTCCCACCTACTCAGGAGACCAAGGCAGGAGAATCGCTTGAGCCTGGGAGATGGAGGTTGCAGTGAACCGAGATTGTGCCACTGCACTCCAGCCTGGGCGATAGAGCAAGACTCTGTCTCAAAACAAAACAAAACAAAACAAAACAAAAAACCTTCATACTTGTAAAACTTAGTTAATTATTAAAAGCCATAAAGTGTTACTTCAGTGCAAGCTAATAATAGTTTATAAACTGCACTTGCTGTTAATCAGTTCAGATATAAGCAAACTCAGAATGACATGATTGATTTTTAAATATTTTTCTTCCTCTGATATTTTCTTTAAAAGCACTTTTTAAAGGAGCAATTTTTAATTTTGTGAAAGCAGTTACAATTTGCTGCCTATTCTCTGCATAAGGTTGTAACAAATTTGAAACAATTGTAAATACATTGGTAATTTATGAGCTGAAGTATAACTTAGAACTTTGTTTATATTTTGACATGTTACTGGCTGTGTAATCCCAGACAATTTACTTCACTTAGCCCAAGTTCTGTTTTTTAAAAAGAGGGCATTTGATCCTAAGATCTAATTCAATCCATTAGATCCTAAGATCCTATTCATCTCTGAAATTCAATGAAACTGTATATCATAACTTCTCTGAGATTAAGTCACTCATCTGGAAAATCTTGTCTTACCTACAATTACATGGCTTAAGTCTGTTCGATTAAACCCATACAAATATAAGATATTACCGTCATGCTCTATATAACCACATTTCAGTCAATGAGGAATCACGTAGTGGTCCCATAAGATTATAGCGGAGCTGAAAAATTCCTGTCACTTAGTGACATCGTACCTGTCAAAATGTTGTAACACAAGGCATTACTCACGTTCCTGGTAATGCTAGTGTAAACAAACCTATTGTGCTGTCAGTCATATAAAAGTATAGCACGTTTAATTATGTACACTACTGAATACTTGATAATAAATATCTTACTGGCTTTTGTATTTACTATCGGAACATATTCTGGCATTAAGTAATGCACAACTATATTTTCCCAGAATTCCATTAATCCTAGACCAAGCAGGCGCTGTCACCTCGGAAGAGAAAAATGTCATGTAAACAAATTTGCCTTTGGGACTAAGTCACCTTTCTGTTTCCTCTTTCCCAAATTTTATTCCAGGAGGCATTTTTCCCTAAGGCAGCCCAGCTGCCTGGGACTGCTCTAGACTGACCTTGTTATTCCGGTCTATGCTCTACACACCCAGTTACTGAGTGTAGTTTATCGTTGCTGTGTTTCCCTTGTTTTCCTCCTCATCCATTGAAGTTTATCTCTTCTACATCTTGTACACTCAAGATCAGACATTTTGCCCTCCAGAATAATAATCATAGAAAATATCAATTTGTGCTAGAAACAATATTTTTACTTTTACAACATAACCGAAAAAAAGTGTTTTAAATTCCTGGAGTGCCTGTTTTATTTAGTGTGAATAAGAGTGTATTAGATAAATGAAGACAGCCAAAAAAATTGGAGGCTAATTAAGGGCTAATAGAGTAAATAACTCCAATGTAAGTTACTGAAGCCATAAAAATGGGTAGGGTCTTCCAAGGAAGTTTGTAAGAAGGTGTTGGTTTAGTTCTCATTTTAAAATAAAAATGAATGCCTTATACACGTAAACTCTGTGGTTGTCAAAGCAGTTTCACATGACTAACAATCCTGAGCCATAGGCCTGTTGGTTGTTCCAATTGTACAGAGTGGAACTACAGAATATTAATACATCTTGCCAAAAGTCACCCAGGAAAGAACACAGGTCATCAGACTTTTAGCTGAATAATTTTCCACTACACCATGCTTCTATAAGTTACCATGATAAAATGTTTTGTTTTTTTTTTTTTTAAATCACAAGTCAATTTTTAATCCAGACTGGAGAGGAAAAAAAAAAAGAAGAAGAAGCCAGGTGCGGTGGCTCACGCCTGTAATCCCAACACTTTGGGAGGCTGAGGCCAGGGGATTACAAGGTCAGGAAATTGAGACCATCCTGGCCAACATGCTGAAACCCCATCTCTACAAAAATACAACAACAACAAAAAATTAGCCGGGCATTGTGGTACACACCTATAGTCCCAGCTACTTAGGAGGCGGAGGCAGGGGAATCACTTGAACCCAGGAAACAGAGGTTGCAGTGAGCCAGGATGGCGCCACTGCACTCCAGCCTGGAGACAGAGTGAGACTCCGTCTCAAAAAAAAAAACCTCCCTGGCTATTATAGTAAATATTCTCATATGGGGTTATGTCTGCCTGGTTTTTTTTGCTATATTTAAAATTTTTCAATCACAATCCTCCTAGGTAAGAATGTATAGGTAACTGAATGAGTCATCAGTCATATTTTTATCACAGAAAAAGTTTGTGCAATATAATGAGATTCAGCATAAACTAATACTTCCTACTTTCTGTGTTGCTGGGGGAGGATGGTGTCTCGTCTATTTTGTGACTTATCATTCCCAACCAGCTTCTCAGTGATTTTTTTTTTCCTAGACCGAGTCTCATTCTGTCCCCATGCTGGAGTGCAATGGCACAATCTTGGCTCACTGAAACCTCTGCCTCCTAGGTTCAAGTGATTCTCCTGCTTCAGTCTCCCGAGTAGCTGGGATTATAAGCACACACCACCATGCCTGGCTAATTTTTGTACTTTAGTAGAGATGGGGTTTTACTATGTAGGCCAGGCTGGTCTCAACTCCTGATCTCAGGTGATCTGCCCGCCTCAGCCACTCAAAGTGCTGGAATTACAGGCATGAGCCACCAGGCCCGGCCTTCTCAGTGGTTTTATGGCCATTTTTGTGGCCTTAACCTACCAAACCAGTAGTGTCAGTAGTCATTCAAATTCTAGAGACAGTTTAAAGGTTCAGACGGACCCAGTGTGGTATGAGGCAAGAGTAAAAATCATAGGTCTAATAATTAATTTAGACCATCTACATATTTGCCATTCTTTTTTTGAAGGCAAATGATTGTTTCTCTATTATAACCAATACTCATGATCATGTCTGTTAAATAAAAGAAGCATTATTTTAAAAACTGATTGCAAGCAAAGTTTTACATGGGGCAAAGTCTTACTTGCATCTCTCGAAGTTCTGGCAGTGATCCAGCATCTGTATTCTATGAATTGAGAAAGAATTAATTCCTCTCCCACACATACATCCTCCCCTGCTTTGTTACTCCACTGGAATGGAAGCAGAACTGTAGGTAAAGAAAGAACAAATCATTCAGATGAGTAGCCA